TTAATTAATTAAGAATCTACTGGGGCTGGGGCTGTAGTGCAGTGACAGTCTGCTGGTCTACATGTGCCAGGGGGACACACTGACACGACCTACAGAGAAAAACAGACCCGAGTTCAATCCTTGGTACCAATAAATAAATAAATAAATAAATAAATAAATATCTACTGGGGCTGGGGCTGTAGTGCAGTGACAGTCTGCTGGTCTACATGTGCCAGGGGGACACACTGACACGACCTACAGAGAAAAACAGACCCGAGTTCAATCCTTGGTACCAATAAATAAATAAATAAATAAATAAATAAATATCTACTGGGGCTGGGGCTGTAGTGCAGTGACAGTCTGCTGGTCTACATGTGCCAGGGGGACACACTGACACGACCTACAGAGAAAAACAGACTGCTATACACACTAACTACTCCTGAGTGACAAAGCTGATAAAACTAATGATCTCTCAGCTCACAAATAATTGTATTAAAAAAATGCGATCCCGAATCTTACTGGTCATTCATAAGCATAAATTCCGGTTAAGCCTGCTCAGCCAAGCATGCAGCACCAGCTTCCATTTCAAATGGTGACACAGCTGGAGCTCAGAACAATCAAGAATCACACTTACCGCTAGAACTCTCACAGAAGCTCTGCGAGGCATGAGCAGAAGCCTTCTCGAGCTGTCCGGGCTCTCTGCCTGAGCCCAGCGGCTTTGCGTTAGCCATTTTGGAGTCTTCTGTTAGTGACTTATTTGTTTTCTCTTGAAGCTGGGGCTGTTGCATCTCCTGGTCAGGTCTGGGAGGCTCTTCTGCTCTCACTAAAGGCAGGGGAGGCTGTGCAGGGTCTTCCCCTACAGGCTCCTTTTCTGTAGTCACTGATTTCTGATCTCCATCATATTCTATATTCTTGTCTTCCTGGGGTTCTAATCTAGTCTCAGCACATGGTTCTATTTCTGGAGCCACATCATCCCAGGACTGGGAATCTGAGCATTTCTCCATTCCCTCAGAAGGTTCACCCGAAACATCAACACTGGGAGACAATGGCCCCTTCACATCTACAATGACCACACTTGAACCCTCTGAAGTAGCTTCCTCCCAGGCTTCCTGATCCTTCTGTTCTAATTCTTGGTCAAGTACTGGCAGTTTCTGGGGGGAATCAATACTAATCACACTGGTTTCAACATCCATAGCTTCTGGGCATTCTTGTTTGGGGATTTCCTTTTGAAGACACAGCCCCTGGGACTGAGTTTCAGCCAGAGAAAGGTGAAATGGAACACCCTCTGGATTCTCTTCTTTGGGCTCCTCTCCATGACTCTCACAAGGAGTCTCCGGGATTTCTTCCACCTCAGACCCTGAAGACCCTTCCTCTGGATGGTGTTCTGTAACTTCCATAGCTTCCTCCTGATCTAAGACACTAGAGAGTGTCTCAGTCCGAGTTGCTGGAGAAGGAACTGCCTGACTTCCTGAGTCACAGGTGAGATCAATACAAATGTCTTCCGCTACAGTTTCTTCTGTGCCTTTGAAACCAGTGGCTAAAATACTGATGTCATCCCTGTTCTCTGCATCGTCTCCTTTTGTTTTGTCATCATTCTGACTCAGTTCTACTTGGCCATCTGATGCTGGATTCATATCACTCTCTACAGGAACAAGTTCAGAACTGAGAACTGGAGACAAGGGTTCGGTATCCTCAACCTGTGAGTTTTCTCCATCTTCATCAATCCTGTGAGAACTCAAGCTCTCCATCTTTGAGGACTGACTGTACTCACTTGTAGAAAGAATCAACTTGCAAGAATCCCCTGTCAAAGAGAGTCCGAGATCCTCAGTGGAATTCTTTGGTTCAATCTCCAAAGTTTTCGAACACTCAATAGTCAAAGATGAATTATGTAAGTCTCCGCCTTTCTTCCCATCATTTGATTGTTCTTCCAAACTTGGCGATGGAATGAAAATGTCCTAAGAAAGAATAAAAAGGAACAGATCATCATTTATTCATAATCTTGTTTCTTTTCCATCTAACCCTTATATTCATCTATAATTTTTAAATCAATTATCCAAGGATTAAAGACTAAGGACTGTAACCCCAGAAATACAAAGCTCAGAATTATACCTTTCATCTACAGAAGTCTCTCTGGTTCATGCATTTCCTATACAGCCACTGGTAAGGAATAAGCATAATTCAAACAAAAACCTAAAGGTACAACCTTACCCTTTTTCAAATGTGATGAAGATATGTAAATTTAATTGTACATCATCAAGCTACTAAAATCACATCGTGTATGCAATGGGCTCCCAATTACAGGACATGGGAATCATTTGGGTATGTTGCCTTTAGAGCCTGTTTCAGATCTCACAAGGAATATGTACTCATTTTACTTCCTACTGTTTCACAATACACTGACATTCATATGGCAAACAGCAGAAATCAAAATTACAACAGTATTAGTCAGCAGAGAAACACACATTTAACATCCCGTTTCAATGCTACACGAGTTTGAAAAACCCAAAAGCCCAAGTACTGTGCAACAACTGCAACTCTCACACATTTCTGATGGCGATGCAAAAAGGTAGAACCACTTCAGAAAACTGCATGACAGTATTTTAGAGAGTTAAATTACCACAGCTCAGGAATTTTATTGGTCAGTATTTACCTAAGAGAAATAAAAAAATACATCCACACAAAGATGTACATGCAAATGTGTATGTATATGCTTTATTACTTGTAACAGTCCAAAGCTGGAAGCAACCTAAGTATCTGTTAACTGATGGATGGATAAGCAAACCGTGAATATCCACATTATAGAATATTACTCACCAACAAAAATGTAATTAGGTATTGACAGATGCAAAAATATGACGTCTCAAAAATGGTACACTAAGTGAAAGAGTTCAAACATGAAAGACATATTTCATGGCTCCAATTACATGAAAAAATAGTTCTGAGTTCAATTCCCAGTAACACACACACACACACACACACCCCAAATCTGTAATGATAGAAAGAAGGGAGGGCCGGGGATTCAGTTCAGTCGTGCTGCACCCTTGCAAGTACACAATCCAGACAGAGTTCCATCCCCTACACCAAAAAGAAAAGAAAAAAAAAAAAAAAAGAAGGAACATGGTTGCCAAGGATGGAAGGAAATCAACTACAAAGGGTTAGGATTAGGAAGGAACTTTGTAGGTTGAAGAACTTGTCTATAAATTGATGGTGGTGATAGCTACACACTTGTAAACATTACCAAAATTCATCAAACTTTATACACTTAAAGAGGCATTTCATTTTATGTAGATGATACTTTAATTTTTATAATGGGAAAAATAATCCAAAGTTTAGGGCCAGGGATTAAGCTCAGTGTTTCTGCTGCCTGCCTCACTAGCACAAGGTCCCGAGTTTGATGCCCACCCCCCAAAAAAAAACTGCTCAAAGTTTAGATAAGGTTTTAAGAATTTACAGTTAGAAGTCCAGGGTTGTAACTCAGTGGCACTGCGCCTTGCAAGTGCAAAGTCCTGAGTTCGGTCCCCAGTACCAAAATAAAAAGAATTTACAGTTAGAGTATTATTCTGCCTATATAAATGCTATAAAACTCTAGACATAACTGGTAAGGCATTCATTCCATGATTTTTATAGGAGTGGGGAATCAAAAAATTCTGTTTATTTTATAACTTGTGTATTTCAATGGTTGTCATTACTATGAATCTGATCAATTTTAGGAATGGTCATAAATTTGAACCACTTCGTATACAATCAAACATGAGAATATAAATCAGCTCAATATTTCTTTTTTTTTTTTCTTTTGTGGTACTGCGGATCAAACTTGGGCCCTTGTGCTCACAAGGCAGGCAGTAGAACCACTGAGCCAAATCCCCAGCCCATAGAGCTCAATATTTCTAAATAGCAATGATATAACAGCTTTAAAATCAATATACAATAGCTTTAAAATCCTGTATCCCCTTTAACCCAATAATTCCGTTTCTGAAAATTAATCAATGGAAGTATACTGAGATTTAGCTATAAGACTATTACCACTACCTTATTATTTAGAGTAGGAAACATGAAACATTTTAAATATCTACTAGAGGTTTAAAAACTATAATTCATGTACATGATAGAATTCTTTGTGCTACATAAAACTGTACAACAGAAGGATATCTTAAAATATGGAAAAACTGGGAATGGAAGTGCACACCTATAATTTCAACACTCAAGGGGCTGAAGCAGAAGGATCATCTCAAATTTGAGACCAGCCAGGGTTACACAAAGCACATTTAAGGCAAGCCTGAACAACAGAGCAAGACCCTATCTCCAAAATGAACAAAAACAAAAACTCTGGCTATGCATTAAATAGGAATAGTTTCCATTTGGGTAAAAGAAATACAAATATATATTTTATTATAGCCTTTTTATACCTCTTCATATAATTTTCATGTATTTTAAAATTTAAACATCACTTAAAAAGAGCTGTTACTTCTGAGATAGGCTAACTGATAATTTTATCTTTTTTTATTTGTATAACATCTGCAAAAAAATATATATGATTTCTCTAATTGAAAAAAATAAGAATCTTTTGATGGGTTTTTTTTTTTTGTAGTGTTAGGATTCAAACTCAGGGCCTCATACATGCTAGGCAAGTGTTCTACCAGTAAGCAACATCCCCAGCCCCAAAATAAGTTATTACCTAAGCTAATATAAGACACTGCTAATAAAACTATAAATACTTTTTAAAAAACAAAACCCACATAACAGAAAATTAACTCATTTTAAAATCAATAATTCAGTGACATTCCTCAGTCACACTAATGCACAACCACCACTTCTACCCAGTAGAGACATTTTCACCACCCAAAGAAAGCCCTATACCCACTAGGCTGCTGTTCCCCATCACAGCTACCTTTAAAGCATTTTCAAAGTAAATACTGATGTGATTTTTTTTTAACTAGAATTTTTGTAATATAAGAATTTCCATCAGTCAGAGCAGGACTCAGGGAGTTCTCCACCCAGGAACAACTACATTTCCAAGGACTCTAACCAAACGCTGGCTCTAACCAAACTCTGAGAGTCTGTCCTCTATTCTCCCACAGTGTAAGGTCCCCTGCAGGCTTAGTCAGAATAGCTGCACCAAGTGAACAAAATCTCCCAGGGCTTGGGAATAAAGACTGACAACTGACTGTGTTCAAAGCACTGACTTAGGTACAGACCTAAACCCAGAGTATCCTAGTTAAAAACTGGCCTCAAACATACAAAGTTTAAGAGCCCTAGAGAGCTTTATACCATCTTCATTTTAGCACTTGTAATCTAATCTGTCACCTCTAATCTAATCTGTCCTCCCCAAAATCAAGAAAAAGAAAAGTGTTAAATATGAACCTATACTCTAATTATCTCCCCATTTCCCACAAACTGGTGAAAGTGCAAAGAAGCTATGCAATTAACAAGTTTTTTAGAAAAGAAAAAGTTCACAAAATTGCCACCATCTCAATTTCCTCTTGTTAAGAACTAACTCCTTATATTTCTTTAAATCTTGTAATATCAAAATTAAATGGATTTGGATTCCAGTAATCAAAGTGCAGAGAAATAAGAGGTGTATAATGATTATCCACTAACAATATGTAGGATTTTGAAACATAATTTTAAAAGTAGGGAACTTTCAAATAAAAATGGCAGACTGAGTACACATCTACTTTTAACTATTTCCAAAACCTTCCAAGGTCTTCTTGTCTTATTATTTTATCCCCGCTCCTCACAGGGAGGTCAATTTTACTGATTGAAAGCAAGAAACAGTTAAAACCTCATCTAGCCATTCATTCAAGTTCTTCTAGGCAAAAATAAAAAGCATAAATTCAGGCTGAGGAAGCAGGCACAAGGTCCTGAATTCAAGCCCCAGTTCCCCCCCGCCACACACATATATACACACAAGCCTAAATCCTAGCTGGACAAAGTGGTACACACTCGTAATCCCAGCTACTCAGAGTCTGGAGCATGAGGACTACAAGTCTGACCCTCGCCTGGGCAATTTAGCAAGACTCTGCCTCAAAATAAAAAATAGTAAGGGCTGGGGATGTAGCTCAGTGGTAGAGTGCCCTTGGGTCTATGGGGTGGGGGGGCAGTAAATAAATTCTCAAGAAAAAGAAAACAAATGGAAAGATAATTGAAAAAATAATTCTGGAAGAAATAAGGATCATTTTAATGTTACATCACTGCCTTTTCTCTTTTACTTTCCTTTTTAGTTTTATTTTAGGATTCCCTATTTTTAATGTTCATACAGAGATTTCTTTAACTGAAATACCGAATAGTTTCTTTGGTGTGAAAAACTATAATAGTACACAGGATCCTAATGAGATAATTAATAATGTGAAATAGGAAGTAAAGGGCTAAAGGTTTAGGGAAAGTGGGAAGGGTGGGGGAAAGGTAATAAGGGAGAGGAAAAAAATATGAGAAACTATTTGGTGTGAAAAACTATAATAGTACACAGGATCCTAATGAGACAATTAATAATGTGAAACAGGAAGTAAAGGGCTAAAGGTGTAGGGAAAGTGGGAAGGGTGGGGGAAAGGTAATAAGGGAGAGGAAAAAATATGAGAAACTGAAAAAAATGGAAATAAAGTGTTTGTAAATGGGGTGAAGGGAGGGAAGGGACAAGGGGAAAAAATGAGAATCAAGACCTATTATGTAGGTACAGAATCCCAATGATGAATGTAACTGTATTGTATACCTAGATTGTACCAATAAACTCAATAAAAAGAAAAAAAATAATTCTGGAAGAGTAGTAATATATTTGGCAAGTTAGTGAAAGTTGAATTTCTAAGCCAACAGAGGAGACCAGAATTGTACCACTAAACCATTCATCTCCCCAAAAAAGGTCCAGGACGGGGCAGTAGCACTGGGTAATTCTGGAAGTGGTGAAGTTGTGCTAAAACAGAAATGGGTCTCTATGGAGAAAGTTCAATGCCCAGACCCTCCC